TTCCATGCACTTTTGTCATGGCGTTTTCACCGATCACTGGTTTATTTTTAGAAAGATTTTGGCGCAAAATTAGAATATCTTTTAACTCCCACAAGCCTATTAAACAACACATACAGACCTAAAAATGGTATTTTGACCTTCAACATAATAAAGCTTAGTTTTCATTTTTTGATATCTTCAGTATATTTAGAATGTGCTTATAAGAGTGGAGGAGCGAGGACCTTCCATTTACGCCACAACATACCGGTCCGTGAAAAGCCATGAAATTATATTCTGAGTGAAATAGGCGTAGTATAAAGGAGTCTCTCGCTAGTACGTGCATGACAAGAACCACTTGGCAGAACCTAGCCGAAACAATAAGATCAGTGAAGCACTGTGGATATACGTTCTGAATAAATTTAGCCGACATTTCACAAGTACTCTTTTCATGAACTCCAGTTTACTGACAGAGGTTTCTAATAACAATATTTGAAACGGAAAATGAGCGAAACAAACCAAATAATAACCCGTGTATAAAATACAAATACAAGAAAGGTACACACAGGTAAAGGTAAAGCGTGAAGAAATCAAAATTTACACAGTATATTAGCCCGTTCACGAGGACTATTGCACGATTAAGTACCCCTGCGGGATTAATTGAAGTTACATATTAACTTCAATTAATCCCTGTACTTAATCCTGCATTTATCCTCGTGAGCAGGCTAATATACTGTGGCAAGTACATCCACATCTAGAAGTTCCAAATCTCCCGGCCAAACGCACAGTTCGCTTAAATTATCGAGACTTTAAAGCAACATTATCTGAGTGCATTATTTCCAAAACATAATGGGCAAAATAGGTGGTTTTCACGTTACGTCATCGCCACCATGCTGGTGGACGGCAAAAAAAAGATCGCTCATTAGCTCTTTTTGTTTGTCCACCAGCATTTGTTCATTTCACCATTGTTATTTGTGTCTCCCGAGATTGCATGAAAACCACCCAGGATAATTATACCACTTACACATTTTTGTCAGCCTTAAACTCCCTAAAACGTTTTAATTTAAAAGAATTGATTTTAAGAAAAGACTCTCCGGATATAATGAGCATTATCCAGCATTTTAGTCGGAGGCGACTGTGCATTTTAGTGGGAAAAAAGGAGAATTTAGGAGGAGCATTTTGTGGGGAAACAAAAGCATAGTAATCAAGTCGGTCTACCACTAGAAGCTGTCTGCAAAGTAAAGAAATTATAATTAGTTCATTTGATGAAGCGACAATCCATGCCACTTATTATAGTTTCTTACCAAAACAGCCAATAGCGAAGTCCTTACCGGAAAAAGAATAGCATTCTTATACATAATAAGAGCCAAATATACAGACGCGTATCTTCTGAAAGATTTTTATTTGCAAGTAGGCGCTGGCCGTGAGTCTGATCTGATTTGCAGCTGAAGAGGTTTTCCTGTCTTACTCAATTCGTAAGTTTCTCAATTCTCTCATCGTAATGAGCTTTCAGCACATGATCGAAGTGTAACTTCAATTAAACCCGGTACTTAATCCTGCAATTGTCCTCGTGAACGGGCCAATATACAGTGGAAATTACATCCACATGTAGAAGTTCCAAATCTCCAAACGCACACTTCGCTTAACTTATCGCTCGAGACTCGTAAGCAACATTATCTGCAATATTTCCAAAACATAACGGGCAAAATTCCACCCAGGATAATTATACCACTTACACATTTTTGTCAGCCTTAAACTTGTCCGTAAAACGTTTTAATTTAATAGAATTGATTTGAAGAAAAGCCTCTCCTGTTATGATGAGCATTATTTTAGTCGGAGGCGACCGTGCATTTTAGTGGGAAAAATGGAGAATTTAGGAGGAGCATTTTGTGGGGAAACAAAAGCATAATAATTAAGTCGGTCTACCACTAGAAGTTGTCTGCAAATTAAAGAAATTATAATTAGTTCATTTGATGAAGCAATAATCCACTTATTATAGTTTCTTACCAAACCAGCCAATAGCGACGTTCTTACCAGAAAAATAACAGTGAACTAAAAGGATTTTAGCATTCTTATACATAAAAGAGCCAAATACATACGCGCGTATCTTCTGAAAGATGTTTATTTGCAAGTAGGCGCTGGCCGTGAGTCTGATCTGATTTGCAGCTGAAGAGATTTTCCTGTCTTACTCAATTCGTAAGTTTTCTATTTGTTTATTCACTTAATTGTCAGTAGTCTTTATCCCGGTCGCTCAATCTTTTAATCCATTTGGAATGTTGCTACCAACAGAAATTCACGGATGTACTTTCCGATCAAGATCTAGGGCAGATACAATAACACGATTTTCTCAAAAGATGAATTATTCGCTTAACTCAGAAAGGGGCACTTTCATTGGAAATTTATCACTAAATCAGTTGTTAAAGGGGCACTATTGCGGGAATTCTGTTAACATTATCAGAGAATACTTTTTTCAGCTGCCACAAGTCAAAATACAATCGACTACACACACACATTGTGTCGGGTTTCCTGTGGTTCTATGCACTATTTTTCTCCGAGAAACAAATTTAAAACTTCAATTCTTACCTTACAGTAGTCCGTTCTTTTACCTTGCATTCGACAACAAATTAAGGCGAACAAAGCGAATCCGGCACTGTTCTTTCATAACACGAGCACGAACTGAAGCCGCATGAGGTAAAATCCAGCGATATGCACTGCATCTCATTTCAAATAGAAACAAAAGTCGTGGGAAAAAAACGACGAGCAATGTATTCCATCTACCAAGCCGGCGTATCTCCAGAAGTTGGACTCGAAGTGGAAAATCTTGTGGTTTTTTAGAAGCCCTTTGTGCTCAAACTAATTTATTCTGGCGCGAAATGAAGATTAACAGTATGTATACTGAAATCTAATACACGACAAGATGAAAATGCTCATTTTTACAAGTACGCGAAAAAAGTGGTTTGTCGGTTTGACTTTTTTGGATGAATCTACTCCACAAAAGCAAAAAGAAATGTTTCATCTCGATGTTATTCACGTATGTGAAGTAAATTCATCATACAGGCCCCATCAAAATGAACTTACACGAATGAAACGGAAAACTGTGGGACAGTTTAGTTTCTACTCAGCGACCTCTTTGTTTTTATAACAAAAGTTTAATGTTCCAGTCTGGTTTAAACGTTGGTATATCAACGCCCAACGCGTAACTGATTAACTTACGGGAAAGAAATTGCGCGCCTTTCTAAAAGTGTGGTGTCAGTAAGTGGCCGACTCGGTTCATCAAGGAAAAATAACAGAAATTGAAACAAAATGTCAATGGAAGTTGTCTCTGAGGATTAATTCTACGGTGACTCATTAAACCTTCTTGGGAAAGCAAACGGCGTACAAGATAACTAGTTTGTTTGTGCACCTCGCAGCAAGCACAGTATAATGAAAGCCCCATAAAAAATTAACATTTTACATTTTTGGCGCCAAAATTTCCTAATGCCTTTGCGAGCGCATACCGTCATCTTAATGTACTTTACTTCTGTATCAAAAGCACAAGTATGTCACTTGTTATAGGCGAATGAAGGTAATATTTACAGGCCGTGAGGCATAAACTGATTTTGGCGCCTCCAATGCTAGCGCTAAAATATTTAAAAATTAAAGGAAACCAAAAAGGCGGGAAAAGATGGATTTTTTTTGTTGCTTATGCTTGTGCCGGTTGATTGTGTCGGTCCTGGTCCACTCGTGTAAAGAAAGAACACAAGCACACGCGACCATAAGTTTGCTAGCCTCAAGCTTGCTTCGTTCGGTTAATATTAATCTGCACTTTTGACGGTTGATGGTAAAAAATTACCTTTTACGAGGGCTAACGATTAAACTTTAGGCAGTTTTAATAGGAGTTGACGGTTAAACCCATTTTAGACCATTTAAGGCATGCCATGAACTGCGCATGCGTCCCCACGGGGAAACCCCATTAAAGCAAAGTATGTATGTAATGTGCAGTTTTGGTATTGGGTAGGGATTTTAGGGAAGGCAAATTTTAATTTTTTTTTTAACTAGCCTAGTTAGAAAGAAACTCTCGGGTAGCTGGACTAAATGGAGACCAACCATGTATCATTCATCACTCCTCATATTTTTCTTCTGCAGAAGATTGAAGAATGAGCACGGCCAAGTTGTTTCTATTTGCCATGGCAATAGCCGCCGTTTTCTTTGTTGACGTAAATGCTCGAGTTGCTGCCCATTATAACAATCATGAGGTCAGTTGTCATTCTCGAAAGTAAGATGGTAGAAATATTTACTATAACACTCTCCCAGGCCTAGGTTTTGTCATTCGTTATTATTATATGGGTACAATAGTGCGCGCGCTCTGATTGGCTGGCTGCTGAGAGGACAAGATTTTCTTGTAATCGACCAGGCATTATGGAAATTTTTCGACGGCTCGACAGTTCTTTTGAGTTGTGAGTAAAACCCACGAGCGCGAAGACGAAAACAACAAAAAATAAGGACAAAATATACATGTAACTATCTTTTCAATAACCGAAAGAAAAATACTATGTCTTACCGATACTTCTTTAGTATAAGCGAGGAAAACCTCTTGCGCGTCCAGGCGGGTGTTTAAAATTACTTCCGGTGTTTTGGTATTCTTTTTAAGAATAACGCTAAAAAAGGCCATATAATAAGCAACTTATTAACTTCGTTAATTCGGTCATTACAGGGAAATTTCAGACATCGGCCTTGATGTGTTGCCCTCGCTATCGCTTTGTCAATACATCAAGGTCTCGGTCGGAGATTATTTCCCTTTAATGACCCAACGGACGGACTTAATTAAGTGGTATTGAGAGGAGCTTTAAAGCTTATTTAGACAAATACACACTGCCTTTCATCGCGGCTTCTGAAATATCAATTATCCCACGGGCTTCCTACAAATTGCTAGAAAACGATTACCTGGTTCTTACACCAGCAAAGCATTTCCTGAACATTTTCTTCAAAGTTTTACACAACGGTAGACTGTTTAGTAGGGGATAGGCGGTATCATGACTAACCTGAGATCAGGCCCAATTTTAGCGGTTCTCATACATTCTCCTCTAAAAGCGAAACGAAAATAGAGCCTGATCTCGGGTTATACATGACCCACCTACACATGCAGGATCCATTATACATCTCCTCCTTAAATTTATTATTCCCTCCCTGTTTGATAAACAGATAGCATCTATTTGGAAAATACTCCTTTCCCAACCAGCTGTTTTATTTCTTTTTTAGGCCTACAATGAATTGGTGAAAAGCGGAGGTAGGAAAATAATAATTGTTCCATCCGGTAACCAACGTATTTTGCCAAGAAACACTGTGCGCTAGAACACGCTAGCATTTTGATGCCTATTGCAAATCACCGAGATTTCCCAGCGCGAGAAACCACTACAAACACCACCATCACATTTCCATCATGAACTTCATCATCATTTTGGCCACACTCGTACTCTTTTAACTATTTTATTTTCATGTGAATATAAAGCTTATTTATGTTTTGTTATTTCCTCTTTAGACCGGTTACACGAATTATTTAGCCGAACGAGTTGTCAGTGCCGCGGTGAAGGTTTTAGTGATTCTGGCTACGGAAGTGGGACAACCTTCTGGTTTGTCGGATGTAGCGGCAACTGGCAAGACTGCAAAGAACCAAGCTTTATGACCAGTTGTTGCCGAGAAAAAGGGAAAAAATGAACGTCTGCAACAGTTCGCGAGCCAATTTACCAATAAACTTACACCATAAAAATGATATACCAAAGTTACATCACATCACCCTATTTAGCCACTAATTGATTTTCAATTCTCTGATACCTTTTTAGAATTATGAAAGATCAAAACGAAATCCGTTAAAAGAGCTTCGCTCGGTCTGTATGCTAACCGTAAGATAATTTATAGTCGTGTAAAGTTCTATAGGTTTCTGTAGACTCAATGCAATTGGTAGTGCTTTTGTTTTGTGCTAAGTAATAAAACTAATGAAATCTGATTTACAGTATCATTTTCTTGTGACCAACAGAATTTTCATAATCCAGCCGCTGAAAATAAAGGTTTTGATGCTATCGGTATTTAAAGGCTGTTACTACTGAGCTTACATTCTGCGCATTAAGAATCTTTGCTTCTAAAAAGGGTGGCATTTGATACAAACGTTTCGTTGCATTTCCCTTACATTTTTATAAATTTAAGGCCATCCGATGTGTTCTGGCTTTCGTGAGCTAAGTAGTGACTGGGTGAAGAGTCAACGCAATGACGTAATCCTGACCGTTACTAACGCCAAAACGAGTGAGTGAGTGATCAGTTTTAAATCCTCGCTCTAAGAAAATTAGTGTTCTATAAAGAGGGTAAGAAAACGCAACCAGTGGCAGAAAGTGTGAAAAGAAAAGCGACAAAGTCACTGTATTTGAGTACCATGCAAGGTCGAGGAAAAAGTGAAATGAACAACTATAAACGGTTCAAGAAAAATGGTAGAAATGGTAGGATTGTCCCCAGTCTTTTTTTGTTCTCAGTTACATATGTTTGACGGTGTCAGGCTAAGAAACGTTAATGATACCTACTAATTAAGACAACCAGGAGTAAAAGGTAAAAGGAAGGGAAACGGACTGTGACTGACCTTTTTTTTGAGCATTACCCACAAATTATGTAATGCCTTTTTTGCAGTCAGTATCTATCAATAATTTGGCGTGATGTTCACGGGAAGTATATTTCATTTTTATTTATGTATTATACGCAGGTAACTAGACTTGCTTACAAGTCGAGCTCAGAATTTTTCACGAGCGCGAAGTGCGAGCGGTAGATTTTTTATGTGTTCTGCTCCAACTACCGGAATCGGAAATGAAAAGCGAATGATTAAGTCTAAAAGTCTAAGAGGTAACGAATAACTTTCCGCTTAATGTAGGTGAAATACACACACTTTTTCTGCCTATATCGATCTAAAGTGAGTCTTTTCTAAATTTGCGAAAACATAATCGGTGCTTTAAAGGGTTTCGTTTATCGTTTGTCTCACGACTATCACTTAGAGGTTGTTGTCTTAAATTAAAAACATCCTTTTTACTTGTCTGAGGTTAGACTGCAAAGCTGTCCGTATTTTTCCGTAGGTCAAGAACGCACGGACGAGCGATCCAAAAAAAGATCTGAACGCGAGGGCTTGTGAGGTTCGTGCAATTCTCTCCTTCCTCTAAACCTTCAGATAAGGGGATGGGGGAAGTGGTCATCCAGACCTTGAAATAAGGGGGGAGGGGAGGGGGGGTCTCAAAAATTTTTTTTTCGGCCCTTCGGGCCTCAGTCACATACAAAATTAAAATTTGAAAGAATTCTTGTTTTCGACCGATTGATTTGAGTGGTCGGTTCCTACAAGGGCAACCAGTCAATTAAATCCGCTTGAAAATCCTGCTTTGTTTGATAAGAGCACTTTATCCTTGCCAGTCCAAAGAGGATAAAAAGGAGTCAAAAAGACCTTTTTATCCTTTCTTATGCCAGTGTACGTAGTATTTCTTATTAAAAGTATTATATAGTTTTAGTACTGAGTTTGCCTCTTGTCCATAAAGATACGTCCTTACACATAACATATAGTTGATACTTAAGAAGTTTTCAAATAATCTGAAAAAGGCAGACTTCACTAAACATTATTTTAATAACGTAACGGTTGGAGAAGTCTAGAGAGGTCCTTTTCAGCGGAATGGGGGTAATTCCACTGATCCGAGGAAAGCATTAACCTCGTGAGTTTCCTAGATCAGGGGCGGATGAAAACAATGTAAGAACGCCCCTAGAGCATTGGGCGTATCGTTATATTGGTAATGGTTCTGAGCCGACCAGTTGCGCAGTGCTCATAAAAACAGTAGGCGTGCCCGAAATGAAAGGTCATGAAAGTGCTATCGAGCTTTGATTCACAATGTAAGCACATTCTCTGCCTCACACAGATGATCAGTAGTCGTAGTAACAATAATTCCTGTCATTGGGTAAATAAGTAATATTTTTGACCGCCTTCGGGGGTGTTTCAGCGCACAAGTGCCTGCCCAGTTTGACTTTGAAAAGGACCTTCACCCCTTCGACAATTTTTTCGTTTTGCAGCGCCCTCGGAGACTCTCGTCAAAACTAAAATTTGAAAAATGACAATACAAGCCAAACTGGGTGGAACTGATTTTATTTAATGAAATAAAGCAATTAACGCACATACGAAATTAAAATTTGAAAGAATTCTTGTTTTCGGCCGATTGATTTGAGTGGTTGGTTCCTACAAGGGCAACCAGTCAATTAAATCTACTTGAAAATCCTATTTTGTTTGATAAGAGCACTTTATCCTTGCCAGTCCAAAGAGGATAAAAAGGAGTCAAAAAGACCTTTTTATCCTTTCTTATGCCAGTGTACGTAGTATTTCTTATTAAAAGTATTATATTTTTAGTGCTGAGTTTGCCTCTAGTCCAAAAAGATGCGTTCTAACACATAACATAAAGAGTTAAAGAGTTAAAGAGTTCTCAAATAATCTGGAAAAGGTAGACTTCGCTAAACATTACTTTAATAACGTTTGGAGAAGTCTAAAGAGGTCCTTTTAGGCGGAATGGGGGTAATTCCACTGATCCGAGGAAAGGATTAACCTAGTGAGTTTTCGTTATCAGGGGCGGATGAATAAGACAACGTAAATTAAAAAGAACGCCCCTTGCGCATTGGGTGTATCGTTATATTGGTGATGTGGTTCTGAGCCGACCAGTTGCGCAGTGCTCATAAAAATAGTAGGCGTGCCCCTTTACTTTCTAGTACTTTCAGGATAGTTCGAAACTAAAATTGACTGAAGAACCGCGCGAAAGATTTTCTGGAGTTATTAATCATAAAGAGGAAAAATTCAAAACAAATAAATAAATAGTAATTATTTATTCAACTCTTTTGTCGCCGTAGTTTAAACAACGTTCTGATGTTTAGCTGAACCACAGGGGACACTGTTAATGACTGTTAAAAGATCACTGAACCTTACCATCTTTTAACTTATTCTCATCACGCAAAGGCGCTAACAATAAACTGAACATTCTCTTAAATCGAAGAATACAATAACCAGGGTTAGGGTTAGGGTAAAACAGCATTCTTTTAAAAAAAGATAGACCCGGACCCCGCGTTTTGCTGACACCCTTATTTAAGGTCCGATGTATTCGCTCACTCATCATTTCATTTATTAATTTGCCAATGTTGAACAAAAGACTTAGGTTTGCGTGAATCAAGAACTAAACGGGTGATAGTCTCGTAACGGCCCTAAAGACTAGGATTGCCTCCCAAAAATTAGCCTCGCACGCAGATGATTTCTTTAGGAAAGTCATAGGGAAGTCGCCATTCCGCTCCGTTTTTCAGATATTATGAACACTAGTGTCAGGAATAGGAGTGTCATAGAAGCTTCTTTGCTTGAAAAGGAAGGGATCTTAATAATTACGTGTTCAATTTTTGTTTTCACGTTCAGTACTCTACCTTTTAGGAAATCAATGATTAAAACGAACCAATTGCCAAATGAATATAACGATACGCTCATGCGCAAGGGGCGTTCTTTGTAATTTACATTGTCTTCATTCGCCCCTGATCACGAAAACTCAGGAGGTTAATGCTTCCACCGGATCAGTGCAATTACCCCCATTCCGCTGAAAAGGACCTCTTTAGACTTCCCCAAACATTATTAAAATAACGTTTAGCGAAGTCTACTTTTTTCAAAATAATAGAAATCCTTAAGTATCAACTGAATCATCAATAAACTATTTCTTAATATATAGTAAGTCTTTGAGCCCCGAGGGGCACTCAATGAGAGCGGCGTCAGTAAGTCGCCGGCTCGGGTCATCGAGTGAAAATAACAGAAATTGAACCAAAATTACTATGGACTCCGACCCCGAAACAGAACGAGCACGATCATGAGGAAATTAATTTTACGGTGACTGATTAAACCCATATATTAAGAAAGCAAACCGTACATGATAACTAGTTTGTTTGTGCACTTCGCATCAAGAACACTGCAAGGAAAGCTCTAAATCTTGAGGTGAGTCAGTTAACTTACTTCATTTGTAATACGGGTTAGTGCATGACTCTCGCCAGCTTGAGCTCGAAGCAAAAGAGGTAAGAAGATGACAGTTAAGTTTAATTTAATGAACTATCGTGACGCTAATGGGGATGTGACGCTGGATGAGGTCGCATTTTCACGACTGGGCTGACTAGAATGGGGTCGCACATTTTCGGATTTTGGTGGTAAGGAAGTTCTTCATATTTACGGTTAGCGAACGTAAAAGAATATTTGTATTGTAGGTGAAAAGTAAATTGTTCTTTATTCAATTTAAAAAATGGGTCAATTCATTTTAGGAAGGCCTATCAGTTTAAAGGATTGATAAGGTAGAGATACATAGATAGAAAGTGACTAAGTTGGGATCGCGAAAACTAGATTTTTGCCCAAAAGTGACTAAGATGGGGTCTATAATTGGCCACAGAATAGACAGTGACTATAATGGGGTAGAGGCTCTGAGAGGCCAGCGGCACATACCCAGCAAAAAATAACCCAAGTAATCTCCCCCCGTATCTAGTAGTGATGCACAAGCTCCCGGTTTGCACTGAACAACTCTCGCAACGTTGTAAGTAAAATCATAACCACAGGCACAACAACAGAAACTGAAAATGCCAACAACAACAACTACAACAACTCCATTGTTACATCTATATCAATTAGGTATAGATGTTACTACCCTCAAATAACTACATTTATAATCCAGGTGGTAGGTTTTATGATGCTAAATACATCGACTGGCGCTCAGCCATTCAAAGCGGGGGAACCCCTATCGAAGCAATGTACGTACTAGTACGCAGTTCTAGTCTAAATTGGGTATGAATTTAAGGGAACGCAGATTTTAATTTTTGTTTTTTTTAACTAGCCCAGTTAGAAAGAAACTCTCAGGTAGCTGGACTAAATGGAGACCAACCATGTATCCTTCATTACTCCTCATATTTTTCTCCTGCAGAAGATTGAAGAATGAGCACGGCCAAGTTAAGTTGTTTCTATTTGCTATGGCAATGACCGCAGTTTTCTTTGTTGGTGTAAATGCTCGTGTTGCGGCCCATTATAACAATCATAAGGTCAGTTGTCATTCTGGATTTAAGATGGTTGAAATATTTACTGATTAGCTCCCAGGCCTAGGTTTCGTAATTCGTTATTCAACCTTGTCCCCAAGGCTTTTCCCTTAAAAAATAGCCTGTGAACAGGCTCTCGGTTCTTTTGGGGGAAACAAATAGCGAATGGGTGGGGCGGGAAAAGGCTCTGGCATCGACTGGTCAGGTGTACAGCTTAATATATGGCTAAAATAGTACGCGCGCTCTGATTGGCTGCTGAGAGGGCAAGATTTTCTTGTAATGACTGGGCATTATTTGAGTGAAAGCTACGAGCGCGAAGGCGAAAACAACAAAAAATAAGGACAAAATATACATGTAACTATCTTTTCAATAACTGAAAGAAAAATACTTCCCTACCGATTCTTCTTTAGTATAAGCGACGAAAACCTCTTACGCGGCCAGGCAGGTGTTGAAAATTACTTCCTGTGTTCTTTATTGGTATTCTTTTTAAGAATAGCGCTAAAAAAGGCCCTAGTATAATAAATAACTTATCAACGTCCATTCGGTTACTATAAAGAAAACTCAGCCCTTGTCTCTCAGCTTTGATGTATTAACCTCGCAATCACTTTGTCAATAAATCAAGACCCCGGTCTGAGATTTCCCTGTAATGACCCAACGGACGAAATTAATAAGTGGTATTGAGAGGAGCTTTAAAGCTTATCTAGACAGATATACACTGCCTTTCATCGCGGCGCTGAACATCCCCCTAATATCCCCACGCGTTTCCTAAAAATTGCTAGAAAACGATCAGAGAAAGGAAACCTTAAATTTTTCAAAACCGAAAATGTGATGCAGAGAGGAATCATGAAAATTCTCACTTTCGTAAAACTTTAACTTGCAGCTAAAATTTTCGGGAAAATAATGCTGAATCCCTTGTAATTTCGAAAAGACTCAAGTTTCCCTAGGATGACCAAACAAAACAATTTTTTTTAGCGCCAGTTGGGATACATTGACTGTGAAGAGGGAGGCGGTATACATGCGGGACTCATTATACATCTACTCCTTACATTTATTATTCCCTTCCGCTTGATAAACAGAGAGCATTTATTTGGTAAACACTCCTTTCCCAACCAGCTATTTTTATTTCTCTTTTAGGCCTACAAAGAACTGATGAAAACAGGTAGGAAAATAATAATAACCTTATCTTTGCAATTTATTTCATGATAGATTTAGTTTGTCACAGTTGAATCTACCTAAATGCAGATTATCAACTGGTCAACTAGCCTCCCCGCAGACGTCCTTTGGGGTTCGTTCGTCACGCATTCATTTCTCCCCCACGGCGGGGGGAGAAATGAATGCGCTCTTTCGCCTTTCGTGGGGCAAAAGAATATAACCTACTCCCAAAAAACATTCGGAACTTAAACAATATATCAAATTTTAAAAGGAAAGTCGCCGCCAACTTTCTTAGAAACTCATGATAGGTTGAATCACATTTTTCATTACTGTATAATTAAAAACCCCTTTTAATATTTCTTGTTGTAACAGATGTAAATATTTTTGCCCCATTGTAATTTTATTATTGTATATTTGTTATTATTGTATATCACGACATTATTATAAATCATTATTGTAAATCAGCTTTGCATTAGTCTTTGGACTTCTCGTTCTTGATACGACAGAAAAGCCCCATATAGAGGAGTCGTAATAAAGTGTATTTTATGTTATGTTAATTGTTCTATCCGTTAATCAACGTATTTTGTCAAGAAGCACTGTGCGCTACAACACGCTAGCATATTGAGGCCTCTTACAAATCACCGAGATTTCCCAGGGCGAGAAACCACTACAAACACCATCATCACACCACCACCACCACCATCATCGTCATCATCATCATCATTTTGGCCGGCAATCGTACTCTTAAAACTATTTTATTCTTAGGTGAATATAAAGCTTAGTTATGTTTTGTTATTTCCTCTTTAGACCGGTTAAACGAATTATTTAGCCGAGGGAGTTGTCAATGCCGTGGAGAGGGTTTTAGTGATTCTGGCTTCGGAAGTGGGACAACCTTCTGGTTTATCGGATGTAGCGGCAACTGGCAAGACTGCAAAGATCCAGGAATTATGACCAGTTGTTGCCGAGAACAAGGGAAAAAATGAACGTCTGGAACCAGTTCGCGAGCCAATTTACCAATAAATTTACACCATATATAAACAGTAAAAACCCGCGTCAGGAGTAATCGGATCCTGCCCGCGTGTAAGAACCTAAAGTTTAAGAACCTCTTAGGCTAAAATTTTTATTTTAAACCCCCTTTTCATAAGAACCTATTCAGCCTAAAATTTTCACCTTTAATTTGATAGGTTCTTGGAGGCCCGAAGCTCTATTGTTTCAGAGTTGGGGTTCATTGTTAGTTTTGTTTGGGTTAGGGCTATCTATTGTTTTCTAAACCAATCCTGTGAGCCGTTCTTAGAGCTTCCGGCCCACTCAAATTTTCAATAGGTTCTTATTTTACAAAAATGAAAGCACAGATGAAAATACAGAAAAAAATAAAATTTTAGTCCAGGTTTCAGTCAGTAAGATTCAAAGAATAAACCAAAATGAAAACCATATCATGTCTAACATTGCCAACAAAGCATTTTATGGACACTTAAGAGCATTGAAAAACGTGCACACTAGTACTTTGGAAAGATAAATTTACTGTATGGTTATCCAAACTGTATTCCAGATAATTATTTAACACAGCAACATATTCCATATCACACATGCCCTGTATTAGTTATCTGTGCTGATCGCTGGTGCCCCTATCAAATTAATAACCTATTTAAGAACCTAAGGCAGCCTAAATCCCACTAAATATCATTGCTACAAGAACCTATTTTGGCTAAGTTGGAAAAATCTAGGTTTTTATACGCGGGTCAATTTTACTGTACACCATATATAGTTACATCACATCACCCTATTTAGCCACTAATTGATTTTCAATTCGCTGATACCTTTTTAGAATTGAAAGATCAAAACGAAATCCGTTAAAAGGAGCTTCGGTCTGTATGTTGACCGTAAGATAATTTATAGCCGTGTAAAGTTGTAGTAAGAGGTTTCTGTAGACTCAAGTATTAGTGCTTTTGTTTGTGGTAAGTAATAAAAAGAAATCTGATTTACCGTATCATTTTCTTGTGACTCACAGAATTTTCAGGCCTCCCCTGGATCCGCCACTGGTATACCATTTGACTCTTACCCCTTTAGCACCAATATCCACAAGCAAATTCTCTTGAGTGATCTCCATACATTCCATTAAAGAATCAGTGGAGAGAATTTGAGATCAATTGAAAAGATGAGTAAAAAGTATTTTTCCTGTAGTGACCAGGTGACCATTTTCAGTATTCATTCTCATATCGTATTCTCGTGATGTTACATTAATATTGTTGGGAGAAAACTGATGTTGGTCACTTTTGGGACTCAAAATGTTCAGTCTAATAAGAATTGGAAAATTTTTAAAATTGTCTCTGTAACATTTTTTTAGTTCTTGTTCTGTCGGTCTCTAGCAGTCTGCAATGAACTTTTTTTTTTTTAGTCTATGGTTAATTTCCTGAATGGCTTTCTCCTTTAAAGCAAAGTAACAAAGTAACTATTGAAAAAAATATGCCAGCCATGGTTCATTTCGCGTCCAACTCTGTGTTATAACCAGATATGATATATCAAAGAAAATCGTTAAACCAGAACCGACAGCCCGCGGTCGGGTCGAGCCGTAAACGGAAACTGTAAAAAACTGCATGAGCCGATGAACTGTGGTGACTAGTTTTCCTCTTTCAACGAACTGTTTGGCACTGACACTGTCTTGGAACATTATACGCTATAAAATTGTCCAAATCTTTCATTTCAAGGAGTGACCTTATCTATAATGGCAATTAATGCTTGGTTCGCTTATGATTTCCAGTCAGAGATTTGTGCTTAGCCACCCATGTTTCAACGTCTTCAATTTGGAAAAAAAAAAAAAAGTTTCAAAGCAAGGCCATCTGTGCGAGTAGTAAATTCAGTTTAATTCTATGTACATCACAATGTGTCATATTTCTGAAAAGAACTTAACACTACATGTACTGATATGAAGATTCATTAATTCCCAAAAAAAAAACATATGCTGTACGTTGCAAGCAAATTAAGCAAAGTTTGATAGAATGGCTGGCCGAACATAAATATTGAAACAAAAACATATATTCAGACAAATAGAATTGTAGATTTAAGTATATTACATCAGCAAAATGAATATTTTATGAACCACAGAAACTTCTGAGTCGTTAAAATGTCCTTAAAAGTACCACAGAATTACAACTCGCTTTCGTTTCAGGGAATTCACACTTTCAAATAGCTTTGATAGAAATGAATTTTTACGAAAGATTGTGGCTGGACTTGCAGCCGGTGGGTCAATACTTCTGATCAAAATTTCAATGTTATTTAAAAATTATTTTCTGTAAAATATTCTCAGGATTGTTTTCCTTTGATTAGAAAATGATGATTGATAGAAAAAATTGAAATGAGACGCTCTTCGTGTAAAGACATTTCACATTGCTGCCACCATGTAGAACAAATATGAAGCATTTTGCTTGATCTGCAATTATATCTTCATTGCCACTGAAACGGAGTTTTAAACATAAAAAAAGTAAACAGGATGGCCAGTTCTCGTGATATAACAGCTGCGTCGATCAACAATGTTGGCGATGACTTCACGGAAGAAACGAATGGTGACGACGAAAAACCGTCAACAAGAAACCGTATAGCCTGTCAGACAGGGCATATACTCAATAACTTAACTTCAAGTATGTGGTATAGTTATGCACTGCTCTATTTTCAGGAAGTTGCTGGTTTATTCCCCACAACCGCTGGAATTATGTTCTTCATTTGTCAGATTCTTACGGTCGTTACTTTACTAGTGATTAGACTCGGTCGCGACAAGCGAATTTGGAACTCGTTCTCTTCCTATGGGATACAAAAAGCGCGACATGTTGTTGGCTCGGCCATTGTACTCTTCGCCTGGCCTTTTACGGCCACCCCATGTTTGTTTTGTGGAGATGCTAGCTCCAGTTTAGAGTTAGGAATGTATTACCTCATGCCAGTGGTTTTACTATCAGTTGGCTGGCCGCTTACAGATGTGAGTTATTCTAAGCTGATGAAAGAAATGCGTACAGAAAGTGGAAAGGTTCCAGAAAACTCCAGGTAAGTCTTTTGAAATATGTTATACTTTTGAGTCTCTTGTTTTGAACGTATATAGCACCAATAACAATAGTCGCTATTTTCATCTGCGCCTAACTATTCCGTTATGCTAAGACAAATTACAAAGTTAAACAAAATCGCACTTTTCCTGCTTTTTTTTTTCACAATACTCTGACACCTAAATACTTTGCATAGTTTAAGCGGTCATGTTATTTTGTTGTTGTTTTTCTTTTTTTATCTAATTCAATTACTTAGCAATTAGATCGCAATACTGTGTTGACAGAGAGAGAGAGAGAGAGAAATAGAAAGAAGTACTTCTTCTTTCGTGACAGGCTCGTAGACTGTATAGAGGAAATTGCATGTGTTATTATTTTTTTAAACTTTTTTACAAAAACGTATATGGCTACAATGCCTATTAATTAATTATTTTTTCCCGATATTACCACTCTTTTATTTCTACGTAAACATAGTTGAATCAACCCAAAACAAAATACATTTTTAACTTTAAAATTTTCAACCTTTCGTTAGCCACTATTACACTGCTAGCCGGATGCGAATCACTGTTCTTAACTAATTTTTCACGTCTACAAAGCAAGAGGATTTTCATAGTATTTTGCGGGTTGTCTGGCTTGGTGTGAATAAGTTAAAACCGCTGAGTGCACCTACCTGTTTCTGGAAAGATGGCACTGTCTTGTGGCTGCGAATTAGTATTAGTTAAATTGTTGTTTTTTAAAATTTAATATTATTGTGACAATAAAATGTTAATGAACCGTAATAGGAAGTAAAATTAACACAAGACAAGAATGGAATTATTATTCTCAAGAATTTATATTTTACTTTGGATCTTCTTCCTTAGCGTATTTCTGACAGCAAGGTACGTAGTAAGGCAATTAGAGTCTTGCGCTTTGTCTATGTTTATTTCAGCCGCTTTTCTTATTTCATATATCTGAATTGTTTCTTTTTAGTTAAAGAAATCGCATATCGAAAATACTAATGAATTATTAAGTATACTTACACACATCGTTTTTTTCTACTAAATTTACATAATTTATACTTTTACCCATACAATTATTGTGTAGAAATTTTGAAATAATCATACACTTTCTTATGTTTTTTTCTATATGATACCCCATGATTCTCGTTTTGAATGAGAATAGGATTTGTAGACCAGTCTGTTCTAAAACCAGACTTGACTCTGGGTCTTGACTTCGGCTCACATTTGATTCTCTGCCTCAAGACACCTGATTGGTCCACTGCCAGACATGTTTCCTTATGATCCGATTAAACGAAGCCTAAAATTGTTTTGGGTTTAATTCGCGAATCTTAAGTGGGAACAATCTCGATCGTATGCGCATTCTATGACTCCCAATTTGCATGAGAGCATGAATTACTGCCTTAACAATATCAATATTTAGAAAATTGTACCTCAAAGAGTAGGCATTTCTAGGTATCTGGTATCTACATGGATTTTTTTCCCAACGGTGAAGGCTTTTATTGATTTCTTCGAGGCTGATCAGCTTCAAAATGAGAGCGAGATGTTAGCTGACTGACTGGCTGTGGTGTCACTCACTGAGCTCGGGTCAGTGATATATGGCTGTGCAATGATGACTATAGTTGACTATGGCTATGCAATGGTAACTATAGCTGACTAAACTGACTATGGCTGTACAATGCTACGACTATAGCTGACTAAGCTGACTATGGCTGTACAATGCCGTGACTATAGCTGACTAAGCTGTGCAGTGGTGACTATAATAACTGACTAAGTTGTGCAATGGTAACTATAGCTGACTAAACTGACTATGGCTGTACAATGCCGTGACTATAGCTGACTATATTTTCTGTGCTGCCACTGCTTGAATGCTGGCTGTGCGGTATGATAACGTATTGCTACTCTTGATAGCAATCTGATAGCCCCACGGATCAGAAGAAAATAATGAAAAAACTTACATCT